ACAGATACATGATTTACATAGAGTAGTTATACAACAATTTAAGACAAATCAAACATTACATACAGTAAGTAGTCACTGAATAGAGTGAATTTTACCTTCAGGGGAGAAAATTTAAGAGCTAAGATGAAAAAATTTAGAAATAGAGGTTAGAAACAAGGCTGAAGGACAACAGAAAATTATCCAAGCCTCAACAAACTAATGAAGAAGAGAGAAGGGAAATAAAGAAAAAACAAGAACAAAGCAAAACAAAAAAAAACTAAAAGCAAGTGGGGTTAGCTCAAGATCACCTAGTTCTAACCAAGAAGACAGCCTGCACCCTCCTGTGAGCCAGCAACCACCATGTGGGCCACGGGAAGACCAAGAATCCAACTCACGCTCTTCTGTGAGCCAGCCAGTGCAAGGGCTAGGAGACAAGAAGAGGGCCCTCTCTCCCAAGCAACTAGCTGATTCAGAGGCTGAGATGACGGTAACTGAAGTAAAAAAACAAATTAATGCTTGCATTGTTTGATTCACTTTGGAGGTCTAAAGCAGGTACTCTGAGCATCTATTTAGAGGCTGGCAATATGCAACATAGGAAATAGAAATATGCAATATAGGAAATTTCTTCTGTCTTGTTTTACTGTTTTATTTTCTTTTTTTCCATTTTATTGTTTATTCCCTTTAAAATAAAAACAAGTAATAAAAGCAATGTTCACAGTCATGCAAAAACAACAATAATCAAATGAACAAACAAAACAAAATGGGGGCCAGGGATATAGCTCAGTGGTAGAAGCATTTGCCTGGCAAAGTGCAAGATCCGGAGTTTGATCCCTGGTACAAAAAAAAAGAAACAACGAAGAAAGCCTACAAGTAATAAACAAAATTTTTCTCTGTGATTTCAAACTTGTGGTTATTTTCTGGGGTCTACAGTATTGTGTTAGTGTCCAATTCAAAGTATGAGTCTGCTCTTGCTGGTAGTTGAAGGAAGTTGTTAAGTGCCCATATCCACACACGATGATCCCAGAAAGCCTCCAACAGGATTAGGGCAGGATAACTGATAAACCCAGTAAACTTGCAGGAGGATTAGGATGGGGTACTGGTGCTGGTACTTTTAAATCTACAGAAGTTCAGGCTGATCCTGCCTTTAGTCATAGGGTTGGGTCATTTAGTTTGTAACACATGGTATCTTGCCAGCCTGATCATGGCTCCCTGACCCCAGATGTCGCCTGTGGTTGTTCCTTACCCAGTCATTGTGGGTTTTTAAACACTGGAAGCCCTGAGATGAAGCTAACTCACAGCTGCTGAGTCCTGGGTTCAGTTGAATCTTCCCTACAGTGGCATCTGACCAACCACTGTCAACTAAGAGACACTATAGTCATTTGGACTAGAGTCACTAACCAGCTGTTGTAGTATACAGTATCCATTACTCCATTCCACTGATGCATTCCTCCTTAAAGATCTCTAGAATTACCCTCTTTTACTGGGTCTCTTTGTCATTTGTTCACCTCTCACTCTACAAGCCAAGAGCTGGAGATAAAATATAGATGGCCCCTTCTTTTTTCTGCAGTTTGGTCTGTCTCTTCACTTTTTCTGTGGGCTCCAATTTTCCCTGCAGATCCTTCCTCGGTCCAGGGGATCTACCAGTCTTCTCTTCCCTAATCTGTTATTTTCCAGTGTCTGGATTCTGAATCTTAGAGAAATTGATTTGTTGCTGCTTAACACTCTGCCATCTTCTCAGAAATCTGTTTCTGTACTCTTGATGATAATCAGTCTGGGTGGGATGAGAAGGAACCTCAGTGTCATTTTCATTTGCATTTCCCTAGTGGCTGAAGATGTTAGGTTTTTTGTTTTGCTTTGTTTCTGTACACTTACTGGCTATCTGGGGCACAGGGATATAACTCAGTAGCATAAGCACCTGCCTGGCAAGCATGAGGTTCTGAGTTTGATCCCAGGTACAAAAAACCAAAAAAAAAAAAAACAAAAAAAAAAAACAAAAAAAAAAAACGTACAGCTATCTGTACATCATCTTTTGAATTGTGTTTGTTCAAATCATTCCCCATTAACTGATTTGGTTATTTGTTTAGGGGGGTTAAGTTTTAAATTTTTTATATATTTTTTAAAAAAATACTAGCATAGATGTTGAGTAGCTAGCAAAGATTTTTTTTTCTCTCTCTCATTTCATAGGTTGCTTCTTCACTGTTGGTATTTTTCCTTTGAACTGAAGAAACCTTAACTGAAGTAGTTCTATTTGCTGACTCTTGATATTCTGTCCTATGCAACTGGTGCCCTATTCAGGAAGTCTCTCTGCCTACACTTACAGATTCAAGTTGCTTTTCTAACAGTTTTAAAGTTTCCAGTCTTATATCTTTTATAACTATCTTATATTTAATTTTGGTTTGCTTTTAGCAGAGTGAGAGAAAGATTTTAGTCACTGCATCTAACTATCAATTTTTTCCATTTCTTTCGAGTAAGAGCCCATCTTTTTTTGAATGTTAAGTTTTTGTCCCCTTTGTCAAAAATCAGATTGCTTTAAGGTACATGGGTTCTGTGTCTATGCCAATATTATGTTACTACAGCTCTGTAGTATAATTTGAAATCAGGTATGCTCTTTTTGCTCAGAATGCTTTGACTATTCTAAATCTTTTGTAATTCCATATGGAAGTTAAGATTTGGGGAAATCAGGGGTTGATACCAGGGTCCTTTTTTTTTGGTCTTTTTTGAGATGGGGTCTCGCTATGCAGTTCAGGGTGGACTAGAGCTCACATTGTAGCCCAAGTTGGTCTCGAACTCACAACGATCCTCCCACCTTAGCCTCCAGAGTGCTGGGATTACAGACGTGAGCCACCACGCCTGACGCGATCCCAAGGTCTTCACACTGAGGTTTTGCTTTGTTTTTAATTTTGAGATAGGGTCTCAAGAATTTTCTAAGTTACCCAGACAGTGCTTCAGTTATAATTTCCTGCTGTAGCATTCCAGAGTGCTAGGAGTATAACACCACCATGCCCAGCTGAATAAGAAAACTCTTTTTTCTAGTTCTCTCAGAAATATTGTTGGTATCTGAATACTGATGACACTGAATCTGTAGATCACTTTTGGTAGTATGGCTATAATAATATTAGTTCTGCTGATCTATGAACAGAGTCTTTCTACTTTCTAATATCTTCTTCAATTTCTTCAGAGTTCTGTAACTTTCATTAGAGATCTTTCACTATCTTGATCAGGTTAATTCCTAGGTTCATTTTGTTTATGAAGCTTCTGTAAACAGAATGGTTTTCCTAATTTATTTCTCAGATTTGTTATTGGTGAATTGCAAAACAACTGAATTTTGTTTGTTGATTTTGTATCCTGCCATTTTGCTGAATTTGTTTATCACATCTAAGAATCTTCTGGTAAAGTTTTTTACGGTCTATGTAAAGGATCATAGCATAGACCAAAATTGTGAAAGGTCTAGTTCAGACTAGAAAGACCTATTCCATAGTCAAAAGAAGCACTGACTTGCATTTGAGCAAGAATACAACATATCAGATAGCATATTAAGTATATTAATCTAAAGTGGCATACAGTATGGTTAGAATAAACAAAGACAGAAATATTAATAAAGGCAAAGAAAAAAAGGATTCACACATTTATCCAAAAAGGATATACAAATAGCTATAAAGTACATGAAAATGTTCAGTATCACTAGCAACTCTGTGATGTTCAACATCAGAGAAATTCAAGTCAAAACCATAGTAAGCTACTACTATAAATCCATTAAGACATCTGGTCATAACCAAAAGGATAGGTAGCAGGCATTTGCAAAGAGGGAAATTGGAATCCTCATATAATGACAGAGGGATGGGGGTTTTGTAAAATAGTGTGTCTGCTTTGAAAAATAATTTGGAATTCTTCAAAATGCTCAAAATGAATACAGTATGACCTAGCAAATCTATTCCCGGTTGGAATATCCAAAAAAAAGTGAAAACACACATTCTTAGTCCAGAGATACAGCTCAGCAGCACAGGTGTCCATCTGGCAAGTATGAGGTCCTTAGTTCAATTCCCAGTACAAAACAACAACAGAAAAAAAAAAAAAAAAAAACATTCTCACAAAAATTTGCACAAATATTCACAGCATTATTCACAGTAAAAACAACACAAATATCTACCAACTAATAAATAAAACATGGGGCTGGAGATGTGGCTTAGTGGTAGACTTCTTGCTTGCATGCACGAGGCCCGGAGTTCAATCCCCAACACCATAACTACTAAATAAATAAATATGGTATATTCATACAGTGAAATATTATTTGACAATAAAAGGTACTGATAGGTGCTGAAACGTGGATCAACATTAAAAACATTATGCTAAGTGAAAAGACAAAAAAGTACACAAACTGTATGATTCTGTTTATATGAAAGATTCAGAATACGCAAATCTATAGATCTGTATGTAAGTCACTACCTACACCTGTGGGTTGCTAGGAAGTGAAGAGTGACTACTAAGTGGTATAAGGTTTCTATCTTGAGTGACAAAAATATTCTAAAATTATTGTTGTATAGGCTGTGTAACTATATATTAACAAACACTGACTCTTACTGGCTAAAGTGTACAGATGTGAGTGTCAATAAGGGTAGTAACACAAAACAGAGCAATGGACCAGTGTTCATGTTTAATAACTTTTTTTTTTTTCTTTTGTTTTTAGTCTTTTTGAGACAGGGACTTGCTATGTAGTTTAGGCTGGCCTTGAACTTCCTATGTAACCCAGGCTGGGCTCAAACTCATGATTCTCCTGTCTCAACCTCCTGATTACTAGGATTATAGGTATGCACCACCCTGCCTACCATGTTTGATGAGTTTTTTTAAAAACCTGTTCTGAAATAAAAATGTTTTTATATAACAAACATTTTGTTCATTTATTCATCAGTGAACATTGATTCAGAACCTGAGATTTAATAGCCATTAAAGCTTTTGTTCTTTTAAGATTATATTTTAATCTTAGGTATAGGAAGAGTAAAATAGTGGATCTTTTCAAACCTTACCAGTGATCTGCAGCTGTGATTTCATGGTCAGGCTACCCATTGAACCAGGTTGTGATCCACTGTCAGACATACCACTAACAGGACAGCAAACCTAAACACAGTAAAGGAAACACTGTAAATATCAAAAATTTCCATTTAAAACATGTGCAAACAGTTCTTATCTGGTCATTTTCTACTAAAGGCCACACAATAACCAATGCCATTCACATGGCTAATCACTGTCCTAACCTATCAGTTAACTCTTAACAGCTGACCATCCCCTTCTGTGTGGTTTACTTTCTTACCTGGAGCTACCAAGACATATCCTTTAGATTTATGTCCTACCTCACTGATTGTTCCTTCCTTTAAAGTCTTCTTTGAAGATTTCTTTTTTTCCTTCTACTCTTAATGTCAGCACATTTTAGGGCTTAGCTCTTCACTGTGTCTCCTTTTATATACTCATTCTCTTGAAGCCAGGAGTAGTGGTGCACCCCTCTAATCCCAGCACTCAGAAGGTTAAAGCAGGAGGATCTTTGCCAGTTCCAGACCAGCCTGAGCTACAAAGGGCGTTCAAGGCCAGCCTGAATTGCATAGTGAACAACAACAAAGAAAGAATTTATTCACTCATTCCCTTGAGAACACTACTGGGTCTTAATTTTCAAGTGGCTTCTATGTAAGGACATGTCCCAGTAACTTTGTATCTCTAGCCCATACTTGACTCGTAAAATCAAAATAACTTCACTTGGCTATCTAAAAAATACTGAATATCCAAAACTAAATACCTCATCTTCCCTACAAACTTTCACTTGGAAGCATTCTCATGTAGTAAGTGTCAAGTCCCATCATTCCAGATGGTCTACTTTAAAAAAACAGCCAATCAACCAACCAACCTCGAAGTCATTCTTTCACTCTTTCTTTTGCAACTTTACTTTTAATCTGTTAGTAAATTGTACCTCTATTTGCAAAAACACATGTAGACTCCAACCACTTAACATTTCACTAATAATCTGTTCATTGCTCTTCTAACAGCCAAGGGTTTTTTTCCTCTCTTACTTTTTAAAAAAATTACACATGTGTGAAATACATGATTATGTTTATTATGGGGCATTTATACATATACATCACAACTCTTTTCTAGTCTGCTTCCCTGCCCATCCTTCCTTGCTCCTTCCAATTCTTGTCCATCTTTGCATTTGCAAAAGCTACATTTTCATTTTTTCAATTTCCCTCTTATCTTTCACTTTACTTTTTATTTATATTTTGAATTTCTTACATAAGAAAAACTATATTTAAACTTAAGTGTCTGTCGTATTTCACTTAATATTATAGTCTTGAAGTATATCTATTTACCTACAAAGAACCCAAGTTCATCCTTTATGGCAAACCAGTAATCCACTAAACATAAATACCACATTTTCTTTACTCATTCATCTGTTGATAGGCACATAGGCTGTTTCTAAGATTTAACTATTATAAATTATACTCCTATAAACATAATCATGCATGCATCACTGCCATGATGTCTTTAACTCCTAGGGGAAGGTACCTCAAAGGGGAATGGCTGGGTCAAATAGAATTTGTGGTTTTACTTTTTTCAGAAAATCTCCACAGTGATCTCCATAATGGTAGTAGTTTGCATTCTCACCAATTACGTAGAAGGGTTCCTTTTTCCCCTGAAGCCAGGCCATTTCTTGGTAATAGCCATTCTCTCTGATGTTTTAACTTGTATCTCTCTAATAGCCACTGAGGTTAAATAGTTCTTTCAAGTGTTTACTGGCCATTTATACTTCTTCTGACAAGTGTCTATTCCGTTCAGTTGCCCATTTTTTGACTGGGTCTTTTATTTTAGAATGGTCTCACTTTACTGGGCTTTTATATACCATATTCTACATGTTAGTCCTGTCTGAGGAACAGTTGACAGGATCAGTGAAGCACATAGAAATCCAAATAGCCATAACCAAAATAAAACTATAGAATAGAATATTAAAAGCTGTCAGAGAGAAAAGACAGATCACCTATAAAGGAAAACCCATCAGAATCACAGCAGACTTCTCAGCACAAACAATAAGTCAAGAAAAGCATGGAGTGAAATATTTCAGATCCTAAAGGAAAATGATTTCAAACCTACACTGATGTACCCTGAAAAACTGTCTTTCGAAATTGATGGAGAGGGGGCTGGGGATTTAGCTCAGCGGCATAAGTGCCTGCCTTGCAAGCATGCAATCGTGAGTTCGCTCCCTGGTACCGATAAAAACAAAAAAGACAAAAAAATAAAATAAAATAAAATTGATGGAGAAATAAGATACTTCCATGACAAAGAACAGCTGAAGAACTTCATGATCACCAAGGCAATCCTGCCACGGAATACTGAAAGATAGTTTAGATACACTTAGGAAAAAACCACTAAGCAAAGCAGACAATTAAACAGAACGAAAAGATAAAGATGCAACAGCAGAAAAATAACATGTCAACAATAAACCAATATATAATAGTTGTAACCATTAATGTAACTGGTCTCAATGCACCAATTAAAAGAAACAGACCGTCAGAATGGATCAAGAAACAAGATCCAGCCATTTGCTGTCTACAAGAAACCCATCTAACTCAAAAGGATACTCACAGACTGAAAGGCAAAGGATGTAAAACAATACTTCATGCAACAGGAACCCCCAAAAAAGTGAGGGTAGCTATTCTGTTTGCAGGCAATGTGAACTTCAAACCAAGAATGATCAGAAGAGATAAAGAAGGTCATTACATACTTGTTAGGGGAAAACTTCAAGAGGAAGAGATAACAATCTTAAACATATATGCACCAAATTCAAGAGCACCCAGTTATATAAAGCAAGTATTAATAGAAATGAAAAACCAAATTAGCAATAACATAATTATATCAGGAGACCTTAACACACTACTGACATCGAGGGACAAATCAACCTGACAGAAAATCAGCAAAGAAATAACAGAACTGAATCATTCCTATGAACAAATGGACTTGATAGACATATACAGAGTGTTCCATCCAACAAAAGCAGAACACACATTCTTCTGAGCAGTACTCAGCAGTAGTATTCTCTAAAATAGAACATATACCAGCCCACAGAACATATTTAAATAAATGCAAGAGTTGAAATTATCCCTTGCATGTTATCAGATTATAGCACCATGAAATTAGAAATTAATGATAAATATGCAAAAATCCCACAAACACGTGGAAACTGAATAACACACTCTTGAGTAATCAGTGGATGACATGAGAAATTAAAGAAGAAATTAAACAATACCTACAAGCAAACAAAAAAACAAATACAACTTACTGGAATCTGTGGGATGCAATGAAAGCTGTCCTCAGAAGAAAATTTATTACACTGAGTTCCCACATCAGAAAAACAGAACGAACACAAACAAATAACCTGATGCTACACCTCAAACATCCAGAAAAAGAAGAACAAGTCAAGCCCAAAGCCAAAGACGGGAGAAAATTATAAAAATCAGAGCAGAAATTAATGCAATAGAGACTAAGAAAACAATCCAAAGAATCAATGAATCAAAGAGTTGGTTCTTTGAAAGAATAAATAAAATTGGTAAGCTCCTAGCCAACCTCATTTTAAAAAAAGGGAAGAAAAAGCTCAAATTCATGCAATAAGCAATAAAAAAGGCGAAATCACTAAAGACTCTGTAGAAATACAGAAGATCATCAACACCTATTTTGAAAACCTCTACTCTCATAGGTTTGATAACACAGAAGAAATAGACAGATTCCTAGAAACATATGAAGTACCAAAGAAGATGTAAAACCACTGAATAATCCAATTTCTATTAATGAAATTTAAAATGTAATTAAGTCCTTACCTACAAAGAAGAGCCCAGGCCGAGACGGATTCATTGTGGAATTCTACAGGAAATACAGAGACTTAATGCCGACACTCCTCAAACTATTCAATGAAATTGAAAGGGAAGCAATCCTTCCTAAGTCAATCCGGGAAGCAAATGTTACTCTAGTACCAAAATCTGAGAAAGACCCAATTAAAAAAGAGAACTATAGACCAATCTCCCTAATGAACACAGATACAAAAATCCTCAATAAAATATTGGCAAACAGGATACAGCAAATCATCAAGGAGATTATACACCATAACCAAGTAGGATTCATCCCAGGCATGCAGGAATGATTCAACGTACGTAAATCAATAAATGTAATCCACCATATCAAAAAGCCAAAAGTAAGAATCACATGATCATTTCTATAATGCAGAAAAAGCTTTTGATGAGGTCCAACATGATAAGAACCTTATAGAAAACTGCAATAGATGGTCTTTACCTCAATATGATAAAGGCCATCTATGACAAACCAATAGCCAGTCTCATACTAAATGGCCCAAAACTGAAGGCCTTTACCTTAAAATAAGGCACAAGACAAGGATGTCCCTTATCACCACTATTTAACATAGTACTGGAAATACTAGCCTGAGCAAGTAGACAATAGAGAGAAATAAAAGGGGTAAACATAGAAAAAGAAGTTAAATTATCATTATTTATGGATGACATGATTCTCTACATAGAAGACCCCCAAAACTTCCTTGAAAGACTCCTAGATATAATAAATAAATTCAGCAATGTAGCTGGATACAAAATAAATACTCAAAAATCAATAGCATTTCTATACACTAACAAAATCACAGAGAAATAAGAGAAGCCACAGCCTTCACATTAGTAACCAAAAAAATAAAATACTTAGGAATTATTCTCACAAAAGTGAAAGATCCATATAGGGAAAATTATAATACACTGAAAAAAAATTGAAGAGGATCTCAGAAAATGGAAAGACATCCCTTGCTCATGGATAGGAAGAATAAATATTGTGAAAATAGCCATTCTCCCAAAACTGTTATACAGATTCAATGCAATCCCAACAAAAATACCATCAACATACCTCATAGATCTAGAGAAATCACTCCTAAAATTCATCTGGAACCAGAAGAGACCTAGAATAGCAAAGACAGTTTTAAGCAGCAAAGACAAAGCAGGAGGCATCACAATCCCTGACTTGAAGTTATACTACAAAGCAACTGTAGTAAAATCAACATGGTACTGAAATCAAAACAGAGCCGAAGC